CTGTAGGAGTCAAACGAATGATCGATTGGGCTTCTTTGTTTTTTTTTCTTTTTTTTTCTTTTTTTTTACATGCAGGATCTCACACTTAAACACGGCTGGAGAACGGGCGCCATCATTCCCGAGCTGCGGAAAGAGATCAAGATCATGAACACGGAGCAGTATGTGCACATGATGTCCTGGCTACAGGCACTGACTGGACTTATTGAACAGATGCAGGTGAAGATGATTGAGAAAACTCTAATGTACGGATTCTGTTTTGGTCTCATTAGTCTCTGTACTTACCTTGCATGCCCTCATCCCAAACAGGTTCACCGAGACCCAGCCTCCCGGGCGGTTGTTGAGGAGTGGATTAGAGAGAGGGAAGCCATGAGGTAATGGAGATAAGCAGCATTATAAAAGCTCTTCAGCTACAAATCTCCCCGGAGATTTAATCTGCCCATATGCCGTTATTAATATTTCAGGTCAAAAATAAAAGACGTGCACGTTTGTTTCAAACACAGGCCACAGACAAAAGACATCTTCAACACTCAGTTTGGGAGTCTCTTCCGGACCTATCACAACCCAACGTATTTCTCGCGCCGCCTGTCCCGCTTCGCTGACATCTACATGGCGTCCATCAGCTGCCTGCTCAACTACGACTTCCAGCACACCTTTTTTCCCCGCCGCAATCCCCTGCAGCACGAATCTCCCTTCTGTCCTGAACACGTCCCCGCCGGGCCCCGTGTGGACCCAGAGCTCCGCAGCTGAGTCCGACTGACGAGGCCGTTTTATTCACTTTACTCATTTAAGCAAGTTTTACTTTTTGTCCAACCGCATGACATGTTTTAGTTTCTATTCAATGACACAGTCAACTGTTGAGCTCGAAATACAAATAACACACAACCTTCGTGAAGACAACGTTCACGAGTTCATCTAAATGAAGAAAATTTGATGCACTGACTTGGACTGGTTTACGTGTGTGTGTGACATATTTGTGCAGTTGAAACGATGGGAAACGTCAGAACGTCATTGTGCAGCTGAAACGATGGGAAACGTCAGAACGTCACAAAACATCACATTCTGCACGTATATATTTTTTTAACCTTAATTCTGTAAAAAAAAAAAAAAACTAACTAAATGTCTTCTAAAATGCTCTCTCTCTCTTGTTGACATATACATATATTTATATATATATATATACGTGTGTAGAAAATTTGTAATGTCGATGAAATATATTGATGAATGAGGGTGAAAAATAGTAAATTTATAGAATATGTAATGATTTTAGAGACTTGTTTTTTTTCACGTTCGTAGTAGACAATCATTGCTGCTATATTTAGCGTTTGTGTTGCTGCTCAATGATGTCGTCGCCTGCGTTTGCAGAAAATGTGTGAACCTCTCACACAAATGGTGAAATGTAGACTTGCAATTTTTTTTTTTGATGACGATGATCTAAAAAGGGATTTTTTTTTTTTTTAATTTCATGACCGTACGGTGAGTTTTATTTATTTGTCTTGATTCACTGTGTTTTCCTTTTAGCTATTTATTAAAAGTGAATTGATTTCATGAATCCGGCCAAGCTTTTATATCGTCATTGTAAACGTCTCAATGAGACTGTAATTTATTATTGTACTGTATTCGGATTTAATTTGTCTTTGTGTTACTAAGTCCACCGTGAGTATTTCGCCATCAGCTGTGTAAACACAAAGAAAATGTTTCATTATTTGGAAATTGATTTCGAGGAGAAGTTGATCTCTGGGCAATAACACTTCCAACTTTCCAATTACCATTATTGCTGCAGGTTTGATGGAATTAATCCCCCAAATCGTGTTTGGGACCAATTTTCCTTATTGCATTTGGGCCTGACTTTATCACACAGGTGCACGAGCTCATATCTCAAAAGGCAAAGCTGTCGGCTTTGACGGTGATCCAAAGATGATAAGATCGCCGGTGCCGTGTCACGAGCGCAGTCTCTGTGGATTCAGTCTTTCTCCTCACACTTTCATTTCATAGAGGGAGAATGGAGAGCAACAACACTTCGTGGAGCTCCGTCCCCCAGCTGGTGACCGTCATGCCCACTATCTTCCCGCGGGTGGGCTACAGCATCCTCTCCTTCCTCATGTTCATCAACACCTTGTTATCAGTTTTTAACAATGGGCTTGTCATAACGGTGATGCTGAAGAACCCGTCTCTTCTTCACCCGATGAACACTTTCATCCTCAGCCTGGCCGTGTCCGACCTCATGATAGGCCTTTGTGGATCCTTGGTGGTCACCGTCACCAACTACCAGGGGTTCTTATTCATCGGCCACACGGCCTGTGTGTTCCAGGGCTTTGCCGTCAATTATTTTGGTGAGTAAAAAAATCAGTGTCTGTGTTTGAAATGATAACTGATTAAAAATGGATTCACTGCTAATTAAGGTCTGGACTTTGGATGTATGGATCTGAAACAGCCTGATACACCGGTCATTTACAAGAGACTTCAGTCCTGGAGTTTGTCTCTTCTGTTTCCTGAGATTGATGTCGGTGGGTTTTTTTTAATGGAGTCAGGCTCTGTAGGTAGCACTTTGAGTTTGTCTAGCACATGGTATTGAAGACGCCAATGACCTTTAGGTGATAGACACCGTCTGACGACTGAACTAAAATCCTAAAAACACCAAATAGCTTTTCTCAGTAGCTGAAGAATTAGGATATATTTGTCTTTATTCTCCAACGTTAACTCTATATAAAGTTAGCGCATCTAAATAAAAATATCAAAAATAAATTTGTACTACATTGATCCAAATATAAAAAATAAATTTGTACAACATTGAGCCCATATTTGGGAAATTGTTGCTGCCCATAGCTAATGAGTCCTACGCACTATGGTGCATTGCTAAAGCCGTTACTACTGTGATAACTGCTGGACTAATGATGACTTTTGTCCATTTCTTTCACCCTCCCAGGTCTGGTGTCTCTCTGCACTCTGACCATGCTGGCCTACGAGCGCTACAACATGGTATGTAAGCCGAAGTTTGGCTTGAAGATGAACATGCGGCGCAGCGTCGTCGCGCTTGTGTTTGTCTGGGTCTTCTGTCTGTTCTGGGCCGTGGCTCCGTTATTGGGATGGAGCTCGTACGGCCCCGAGGGGGTCCAGACCTCCTGCTCCCTGGCCTGGGAGGAAAGATCCTGGGGCAACTACAGCTATCTCATCCTCTACACACTCCTCTGCTTTATATTCCCCGTCATAGTCATCATTTACTGCTACTCCAAAGTGCTCATATTCATGAAAAAGGTAGGGCCCGCCCAGGCATCTGCGTATTTATCACAGCATTTAAAAAGGATTTAAAAGCCACACTTAATGCATCATCTGTTAGCCGTCCACCACCCACAGACCACAGCAAGTTATTGGTGTTTAATGGGGGTCACTTTGTCTTTTCCGCTCATAGATCAACAAGAGTGTGGAGCTGCAGGGCGGCTGTTCCAGCAAAAAGGAAAATGATCATGCCATTAGCATGGTCCTGGCCATGATCATTGCCTTTTTTGTCTGCTGGCTGCCCTACACGGCACTGTCTGTGGTCGTGGTCATCGACCCTGAGCTCTACATCCCCCCGTTGGTGGCCACCATGCCAATGTACTTTGCCAAGACCAGCCCAGTCTATAACCCCATCATCTACTTCCTCTCAAACAAACAGGTGAGAAGCTCAAATGTGTTTGTGCCACAGAGCGGTATCATACGTATACGTATCGTCTTAGTCACAAAAAAGATTAGTTACTTGTCTTTTTCCATCGTTTTAGCCACAAAAAAAGATTAGTTACTTGTCTTTTTCCTCGGGCATATATTCAAATTCTCTGGGAATTCTGAATAATCTTTGGCTCTTTGTGTCAAACAGTTCCGTGATTTGACATTGGAATTCCTGTCATGTGGACATTACATTCCCCGTGCACCAACCGGAGTCAGCATCAACCTGTGCCGCTTGAAGAGCAGGAATCCTACTCCGCAACACAGGGTCACGCCTCTGTGACCTTTTCCTGCAGACGCCAAGGAACTGCTGAGCTACGGATACAGATGCGTGGGCAGATGGATGGACGGACGGACGGACAGACAGATGGACAGATAGATAGATAGATAGATAGATGGATGGATGGATGGATGATAGATAGATAGATGGATGGATGATAGATAGATGGATGGATGGACGGATGGACGGACTGGCGGACAGACAGATGGACAGATAGATAGATAGATAGATAGATGGATGGATAGATAGAGAGATGGATGGATAGATAGAGAGATAGATAGATGGATGGATGGAGGGATGGATGGATAGATGGATGGATAGATAGAGAGATGGATGGATGGATGGATGGGTGGATGGATAGATGGATGGATGGATAGATGGATGGATGGATGGAGGGATGGATGGATAGATGGATGGATGGAGAGATAGATGGATGGATGGATAGATAGATGGATAGATGGATGGATAGATAGAGAGATAGATAGATGGATGGATGATAGATAGATGGATGGATGGACGGATGGACGGACTGACGGACAGATAGATATATAGATGGATGGATGGATAGATAGATACTACGTTTACTCGTGTGATTTGTTCAGACTTTAGTCAGGCTGTGAAGTGTTATTTTTCATTTTTTTTGATCACAAGATTTAAGAAAAAAAAGTTACATTTTTCTTGGTACATGAATAAAATACTCTTAAATAAAAGTTTAGCGTAGGAAAAAAAAAATCACTCGGTTCAGATTGTCTTGTTGATGATTAATGTCTCGGGGGGGTGGGTAATGAAATATGGAAGCAGCAGTCACAGACTGTATAACGTTTTACATCACAAAACCATTCTCCGGGAATAAACACTCCAAATGTATGTAAATCACATACAGCAGAAGCACTCTGTTAGAGGGATTTCGCCTGGTTAGCAGCTCTGACATTCCCACTTCCCACAAGTCTGCTGCACGGGACACAACATTTCACAGCTGCAGTGTACTGAACAGTAGGTGGAACGTTGTTTATCAGCACCTGTGGTGGGGATTTACTCCCCTTTTCACTTGTTTTTGACTTGCAGAGAAACAAGCAGGGCAACACAACAATTTTCTCATTGCTGTCTGGATTATACCCACACAATCACATTAGGAACACTCCGAGAATTCGGATGCATATGTAAAGCCAGCACCCCGGGAGAACACGAAGGATGGTAGACGACGACGCAGACTCAGATACTCCGCCGTGTGATGTGTGGTCTGGTCTTCGTTGCGTACTTTGTCTGTTGTAAATGTATTTTTAGAAGCAGTTCAGAGTACGAGCTTAAGTCTTGTTTTTTTTTTTTTTTTTTTTACGAGCTTAAGTCTTGTTTTTTTTAAATTACTACCTTTATCTTTATTTCCTCAACGCTTTCAGAGACTGTCTGTGTTTTTGTATAATTTTATGACTTATGTTAGAATGAATAAACGTTCACAAGAATATCCGGAAATCCGGTGTGTCATTACTACAATACCATTTGTGTCATGTGCCAGTTCCATATGTGCCTCCCCGCTCTCTGCTGGTGAGTCGTGACTGCATTTGTCCATCTGTGAAAAAAAGGTCAGTGTCTCAGTGGTGAGAGTGAAATCCAAGCCTCCAACATTGACACCTAATATAACCAGGAATAAAATATTTAAATGTGAATTTGAATTGAATACACCTAGTGCATTATAAGCAACACAGAGTGGATGTTTGAGCAGATTATTGTTTTAATATATATTTTTTAAAGGTAAATGTTTGTCTAGTCTTTGCCCTCTTTGTTCTTGTTACCCTAGTCCTGATTTAAAAAAATAAAATTAAAAGGTTCATTTATATTCTACAGTAAAAAAAAATTAAACTCAATGAGGACATGAGTGGATCCCAGCAGTTAACAGGAGGAGACACTTGGACATGTTGACCTTGGACAGTTGGACACCAGTCAAACACAGGGACACATACACGGACATTTACTCTCATTTACATCTACACTGAACTGTACAGTGAGGCTTAGGGACGGCGTTGACCTTGGACAGTTCAGCAGTCAAACACAGGGACACATACATGGACATTTACTCTCATTTACATCTCCATTGAACTGTACAGTGAGGCGTAGGGACAGCTACTGGGGATCGAACCAGTGACCTTCCTGCTGTAAGGCAAGAGCAATAACCACCTGAATGAATGAATGTGAAAATGAAATATAAATCAAAGGATCATTGTACTTGTACTTGTCCTTTATGTTTGCTTTTTTTTATGCCAGTTCTGATGTCATTAGCTCTTAGCAACAGGGTGTTCATTAGTTTAATCACCATTCATTTCTCCTTCTTTTGTAGCATTTCTTTTTTTTTTAACCATAACATAATTAAAAAAAACCCATAATAATCAACCATAATACTAAGTAGGCTATTCTGAAAAAACCCATAATAGTCCACCATAATACTAAGTAGGCTATTCTGAATATGTGTTATTATGTTAACATAATCCCAGATTTGGAAATGTTCATAATCTTGACCTTTAGAGCCAAGAGACTTTCACAGTTTATCGCTTAACAGGATTACACGCTGACACTATATAATCCAGCGACAGGGATTTCTTCACCTCCTAGAGCACTTTAAAAATCTCACAGGTCATCCATCGGGAACATACACACATCTGACGCTTTGAACCCTTCTGGAAAACAGAGCGGTATTAAATTAAAATCATACCTGACTTCATTTAACAAGGGTTGCATAACTGCTTTTCCATGAACCACACTTTTGCCCCCTCACACTCAACACTGCTGTGAATACCCAGCACAGTCTGTAATAGATGTGAGCAGTGATGACTCCCTGGTGGCTGCTGATGCTGTAGAGCGATAATGAAAAGGGCGGATACGTTGGCATTACTTGTCCAAGCTTCCCTTTGAGATATATTCACTCAGTGAAGAATCGCTTTCCTTTGGCCCGGCCGACTGCGGAGGGAGACGCACGTTTCAACATGTTAACCATTTGAACCTGGAGATGAGAGCTGAGCCTGCACCTGTATGGGACCCTGGGAACAACACCGTTTGGAAGGAGTACGTTGACATCACCTTTGTGGTGGCGAACAGCTTGGTTTTGCTGCTCACATCTGCTGTGGGAATCGTGGCAAATATCTTCGTCATACTAGCAGTTTACAACCAGAAATCGCTGCAAACCTCAAACAACGCGCTGGTGGTGAATCTGGCGGCGGCGGACATCCTGCGATGTGTCCTCGACTGCCCCGTTCTCTTCGCCGTTGTTTTGACGGTGCATCACAGGGGACACGGGAACCTGTGGGTCTGCGATGCACAAGTGGTTTCTTTCTCCTTCAGCTGCTGTGTGCAGCTGTTGACACTGGCCTGCCTCAGCGGAGAGAGACACCAGGCCATCGCGTTTCCCTTTAAGGCCAGTCAGAGGAAAAAACGGATTCAAGTGCTGATTCCTCTCACCTGGATCTCGGCTTTGGTGCTGGCTGTTTGCTGTTTGACATTTGTCAAGGACTCACCTGTGCACATCAAGTGCAAGGGATTAGTCCGAAACCCATCGGGGTCCTACGACACCTTTGGCCTTTACATGCTGCTCCCACTGTGGGTAGCGTGCTTCAGCGTTATCATTGGATTCTATGCCCGCATTTTTGCCCTCGTGCGAGCGCACAATCGTAAAATATTTGACCAAGGAGTTCAGATTCCCAAAAAGAAGCCCGAGCCAGAAGCAAAGCCGCAGCAGGAGAAGGCCGCGGTCGTTGAGAAGGGAGATGGTGCAGAGAGTCAGGCGCCACCTGTCGCTCAGGTGGAGCTGCTGACGCCAACGGAACAGACGCCGTCAATGACACACGATGTTCTACAGACGACAGTAATGGCTGCACGTGTCCTCCCGGGCTCGGAGCATGAGAAAGACTCGAAAAATCTAGTGATAACAGACTTGGAAAAAGAACAACCTTGTCCTACATCACAGGTGGCAGCACAGACCGAAGAGAACTTGCTGGAAACGGAGCAGTCCGAGCCTCGTCCGACAGGAACTGAGGCATCACAATCAAACGGAGGTGCCGCTGGCAGTGTTAAGTGCTTGACAGCAGAGCCCCAGGAGGTGTTAAGTAATGTTAACACAGACACTAAAGAAAAGAAAGTGAAAACCATCCAGACGCCCACTGAAAAGACAGAAAGCGTTCCCCACGTCCCATCCTCAGCGCTGTCGGAGGATCCGAAGTCTTCTCTGTTACAGCCTAAAACCGAGAAAGCCGCCGACGCCACTGGAGGGGAAAACATGGCCGCTGCTCCTACAGTCTCAGACAAACCTCCGGAAACCGAGGCTCAAAACCCAAATGTTGGGATAGAGGGCGCTGTTTGCGTCATGCCTTCAAAAGCGAGCAAAGAGAGAGCAAACAAAAAGAAGGAAAGTAAAATGGCTAAACGCGCCGGTTACATCATCCTGACCTTCCTCTTATTCTGGCTCCCACTGATCACAACCATTCTGATCAATTTTGTCGTTCACAAGAACAAGAACTCACAGGTAGGTGGCTACGTTGGCGGCGAAAGGCTGCACTGTGTAAATGATTTGAAATCAATGTTACGCTACTTTTAATTGGAGTAGAAGTAGATGCTGTTGAGTGTTCCTGGCTTTAAATGCCCTAAAAAGGTGTTTCTTTGTTGTTGTTCATGGCATCAGAAGGCGCTATTTTAAATCTATACTAAAGGAGGAGCGCTCTCCCAGCGGCGGCCATGTTGGATCACACATGTTTACACACTGAACCACAGTAGACATTTTTTAACACCAACTCGTTGTTTTTTTTTTTTTTTTGTTTGTTTTTTTTTTTTTGGGTAAAAAACCAAAGGGAAAAATTCCAACATGTTACATTTGATGTTGCATAAACCTACGCAGTAAAAATATTTATTCACAGTACATGAATATACAGTTTGTGTAGCCCAGGGCAGGATAAAAGTCATGACACAATGTCTGAAGACTTTTTGGAAAGTGTTGTTTCCTTTGAGAAATCCCTGCTTTGTAGACATTTTGTCAATGTCAGTGTCTCTGTCACCTGGACACGACCTTCTTTTTTGCCTTTTTAATGAGTGAATTTGATTTTTAAGAAAAACGGTTCTTTTAGTTCAGAAAAAGAGTTGAGCTTGTTGGGGATCTTTGATCATTTTCAAAGGTTTCCTGAGAGTGTTTTTAAAATATTTTTGGTAAAATGATTGAGATTTGACACTTGAACTGAACTGAAGTACTGTGGCGGAGTGGTTCATTTAGACCAGATTGTCTCTTACATGTGTTCATATTTTTCAGAGAACCATCAGTCAGCACGTGGAGGTTCTTTCAGTGTCCGTTTCCTGTATCACATCCCTGAGTAATCCGATCATCTACGCTGCAGTGAACCCTCAATTTCGGACAGAATTCCACAGATTGAAAGATAAGGTTAAATCCACTTTCAAAAAGGAGGAGTAATGTTTATCTCTGATGAATTCATGCGTATGTCATATCCACTGTAAATCAGGCTAGGGAAAAAAAACATTTGTTGTTTGTTAACAAGGTTTTAATGAATGTTTTTTCTTTGTAGGTCAACTTATTTTGTGTCTTATGTTTAGCTTTAGGTCATTTTTGCTAACTGAAGTGAATGGGTGTTTGGCTAAAATGTTTAGGTTTGATTTAGGTTAGTTATGTATTTAGACAAGTTATTTATATCTTTTGTTTAGCTAGCTATGAGCTAATTTGACTGTCGTTCAGTTAATTTGGGATGATTTACGGGCTCCGCTCTTTTTATTTTTGGCCACTTCCATGTAGCTTTATTTGATTTTGCTAGCTTTCTTTTGTTTATTTCCTCATTTCTTACCATACTAACTTTCTGGAGTAGAGATATCTTTAGCTAGCTTTAGGCTAACTAATGGACGTGACCTACTGTAGGAGTTCAAAAGAGACATTTTTGGTTTCCCGTGGCATTAGTATGCACTGTGATTTCGACTATTTGTAAGTATTTCAACCCCAGCCGTTGCTTAGCTAAAAAAAAAAAATTTTTTTTTTTACCATAGCATACCACATATTTGGCACCCAACGTTACGTAACCCTGATCTTCTGAATTGTATGCGGTCTGATTTCTCAGCATTTCCAGGATGAGGCGCTACATGCTGTGAGAAGCTGCATGAACCTACACAAGCCCAGCAGGTGAATGCTGCTGACTCCTGTCTCAAACAATCAGTGAAGCACTTGTCTGTCTCCTGAGATCCTGCAGCCCAGACCCACAACTGGGCCAGTCAGGTCCTCACATGTCCTCTGTCAGCTCTTAATTACTATCTCATCTGACAAGGGGGGAGAAAAAAAAAATACATTATGAAATCAGGCTAAGTGTCTTTTAGCTATACAGGGGGAAAAAAAGACATGGATCTTGCACTGGGTGTTTCAGTAGAGCTACAGTATTTATTCTATCAACTCCACCATATGAACAATGTGTCATTATTCGTCCGTCCCTAGCCTAAATGTCTGCACTCCGTGACAAGATTGGTAATTCAATAAAAGCCAAGTGTGGCAGAACTTGCACAACATATCAGCCTCATAGCGTTTCCTTTCATCAATCATGTTTTTACTGACAGAGCTCCAACAAGAAGAGACATACTTAAATAAAACAGAAATCTGCAATGACAGCATGCAAATTCTTAAGTCAACCAGTAAACAGACAGAAATATTGTGCCAACAATTGCCAACTAAATCTAGAAATGAGAGAAACCAACTCCAAATGCAGTCGATAAATTTCTGGGGCTATTTACAATATGAAAAATGTACAAAATGGCCCTTTTACACAGTGAGATCTACCAAGTCCTTTCGAATGTGGTAATTAAAGAGGAACAAAAGGGAACCGATGTTAAAACCTCCTGGCGTGGTCCCGCCCCCCCCCCCCCCCCCGCCCCCCCCCCCCCCTCCCGGGGGGGGGCCTCGGCCGGCGAGAAGCAGCTGACTTAGAACTGGTGCGGACCAGGGGAATCCCTCTCTCCCGTGACCTTAACTAATATTTACCCTGTATTTTCTCAACATCACTCGCTAACCGATGGCAATGGCTCCGACAACGAGCCGCGTCAGAGTGTCAAATATGTAAGCTAACACAGATTTTTTTTGTCATTTTGACTTTCACTTGCACATTTCACAAACATGTCAGGATGCGTAATATATTTTACTCATCAAGCGATGAAATCAACCAGTTAATGAGTCAGTTAATGAATATTCACAACAGTTCTTCATTCCTGTGGATTCATGTTCTGTGACTTTACAAACGTGACAGGACTGGGAACCAGTTTGTTCGGGGGTTGTTTGTTTTTTTTTTCTTTCTTTTCTTTTTTTTTTTTTTTCCTCAAAAAAACAAAGCAATCTATTTAAATGTGAGGGGGGGTCGGGGGGGATTGAAGTAAAATGTCCACATAGATTGTTCTTATATTCACAATATGACCCTGGGATAATGACAATGTGTGCTTTGCTTTTAAAGGTTGTAAAGAATGGCCTTTTTAACGACAGCTTTTCTTCCTCTGAATCAGAAGACGACAATTACACCTACACACATATTCAAAAATAAACTTTTTCTCAATATGTTTAGGCAACAATGATACACTCTCGACGTTTCCTTCCTCTGCTGTGCTTAATGCAGGAAAAAAAATCTGCTGGTCAACTTTGTTCCAAGGCAGCCGTCCATATCATTTTAATACCATGCAGAGTTTGACATCAGATGAGATCACTACTTCAAAAAACCCAACCTCTGCTAATCCTATAATCCTTCTAGATTATGGCAGGTTGATGCTCGGTGGTCCCTCTCCCTCAGCGTCTGGTGCGTTTTGATACCAGGTAGCTGATAAGAAAAGCGTGACATCTACAAGGCAGATACTCGGACGATGCTCTGAGAGTATGCGGTGGTGGTGGTGGAGCCGTCCCCATCTGATGAGATCATCACTGGGGCTGAGAGGCTGACCATGGAGGGGGTGATGTACGCTTCTTCACATTTCAGGGGCATGGTCTCATCCAGTTTGGCATTCAGGCTGGAGCGGCTGAGAGAGAAAAAAAAAACACAAGATGAAAGAGGCCGACGGCTTTGACCTTGAGACTGTGGTACACGACGACGACAGGTACACACTTGACGACGTGCGTGTGCAAGGTGTCTGCGCATCAACTGCAGTGCAAAATAACATTTCAGTACCCCCCCCCCAAAAAAAAATACTTTTAGTTCATTTCATTCGGTGAAACTCTTCCTCTTGTTTTAAATGAAAAGCCTTATTTCTTCAGAGACACTGGTACAAACCCGTGTATGTGTGTGAGTGAGTGGTTGTGTATTTTGCCCATTCAGCTGCAGCTGAGCCCAAATATAATATAACTGAAATAAATACAGGAGTTCTGTGAACAGCAGTAACGGATAATCCAGATTAGAAAAAAAAAAAAATGATGATGATGAGTGCAAATAGATTCAGAGAAAACTATCTGTATTTCAGGGGATTTTGAAGATATATATAAAAAAAAAATTGTATGCTAAAATCACCGTCAAAGTATAAATAAATAAATATACATACACATGAGGAGAATTCAAGGTCAGACCTTTGTGCCTACAATGGAAAAATAATTCGGCTGCCTGTTGGACCAGGAAGTCAAAGGACCAGGTGTGCAAGCAGCTAATGTACTGAAGACCATTAGGAATATTAAAAATATTAAAAAATCATAGTCTAGTACCCCAGCACCTGGCTCAATGCAACCTGCCTCATGCAGCGTGTATGGCACCCCCTGCAGTGTAGGGAGGGGATGTACACGCTGTTAAACTGCAAACAGTAGAGTTCGTAGAGAACGCATGGAGTAATTCCATCAACCGGGGCTTAATGTTCGGGCTGTCTGTTTTCCCTTTCCTGTCTGGTCTGCTGGGTGGAGTTAGGCTCGCCGGTGCCACCTGGTGCCCAGGGTATATATATACCTCTCTTCCTCACTCTGTCTGTTAATCCTTATCTTTGGTTGGATGTATCTGAATCAAAAACGCCCTCAGTTAGTTTTACTGGCTTTTAAATATTTAAAGAGCAGCACGGAAAACAGAGAAACGTAAGAAAAAACATAGCAAAAACCAAAAAATGACTACCTGTTGACCACAGGCCTCTCTCTTATCTGTATGGTGCTGAGCTCTTGGTTGTTTGTGCTGGGCAGGCTGAAACTGTTCTTCTTCCTATGGCGTCGAGAACAGCAGGAGCTGAGGCCGTGCGGGGATGAAGACAGAGATGAGGAACGCGAGCCCGACTTGTGCACCGCAGAGATCTCCATGCAGTTGGCCTGGAACGTCTGCTCGTCCACGAATTCGTGATTCTGCACAGGCGGACACAGCAGACATGTAGGTTCAGTGTTGAACTGGATCACGAATCACTCCGCTGCAACAACGTGACGCGCCGTTAAATGACGGGTAAAGATATGAAATTTGAACAGACCGAACCAACAGAAAAAGTGTTCGCTAAATTGCTAAATGAATCATCAACAGCATGGGGAAATTTATTGGCCCAGATGCCCGTATTAAGTGCCATCTGTGAAAACATTCACAAGTGTTATCACTGTGACAAATGAACATGACTTGAAGGTCAGCCTCCAAGGATGTTTCAGTCTCTCCGCCTGTAGGTGGCACAGTGACGCCACGTCGACTCCGGTGACACGGCGCGGTCCTCTGAATCATACCTACTTTCTCACACCTTCTCAGACACTTCGGCTCTAGGCTCTGTCGTCGTGAATTCGCATCACGTCCGCACTGATGCACCGGTGTGCTCTGCATGTGATGCTCTTGTCATCTGCATGGGAGCGTCTTCCTGGATGACCAGAACGCCTTTTTACTTGGCGGTGATTTACCGCCTGTCTCTGTGCAGGGTTTAGGGGCTGCAAGTGTAAAACTCAAAGCATGAAAGAGAACCTCGGCTGCTTTGAATTATAGATGGCGTACAATGAAGTCGGCTGGTTTGTTTGCAGGGAGTAATGTTAGTAACGGTCGCGTTATCTTTAGCATGGTGTTGGCATGGGGACTAAACATTGCCCTGCCCCATCTGCTGCTGTTTTTTTTTTTTAGCTCACATGAAACAGGTTCCACAGTTTGTGGCCTGCTTGAAAAGATTGACTTTGTTCCTAATTGCAAATCACTGTAACAGACAGGCAGCGTATACTGCAGCGGTGAAGCAATTATACATAAAAGTAACTTCCTTTTTTTTTTTTTTTTTTTTTTTAACTGTCAGCTATTTTAGAATGTGGAAAAACAGTTCCTGGAATAGTTAAAAAAAAAAAAGGATTTTGTTTGGGTTTACCGTTGTCTTCTCCAGGCAGTGCAGAAGGTGATGGTGTTGGCTCTCAAAGGGAGGGTTGGCGGCCTTTCCTATCAGGGCTCGTCCTGCCTCCTTGGAGGCCTTGGAACACACAGAATAAGGTGAAAAAGGAGAGTCAGTGATGATGACACGCTCACGGTCTTCCTAGAAAAATGAGAGAATCAGGCAACAGAAAACAGCTCTGTGATGTAGTGGGAAAGTACGAGAAAGCAGAGGGTTTGAATATGCTGCTATCTGTTAATCGACTGAAAGACCTAGTGGGATGGAGATGCCTTTAAGATGCATAGATATATCACACATGTTTCACTGACTGACTCGATTTTGTCATTCGTTTGCCGGGTTTGATGAGAAGGACCAGAAGGGGAAAAAAAAAAAAAGAGAAAAAAATTGGACGATCAAATTAGAAATGAATTCAATTCAGTGCAACAGCAGTGGCACAACCAGACACAGATCAAACAGAGTGCACCAAACACAGCACAGGGGTCTGGACCATGGTAACACCACAGGCTTGGATGACGCTCTGCACAACTCGGAGATGGAAGGTATGTCGTGTTAGTCTGCGCTACGACCCGGATGCTCTATAAGTAACACACAAAACACACAGCAGATCAAAAACAGAGTTTAGAGGAGATGCAGGCTGAGCAGACAGCCTTCCAGAGGCCAACGACTGTCCAGGAAGCTCTGACCACCCCCACCCCGCCTCCCATCCCCTCCCTCCCTCCCTCCCCTCCCCTCCAAACCCTGTTGGACAGACATGCAGAGCTGGGTCATGAGTCAGTGTGACTGTAATGGTTGTTCTCCACCAGAAGGCCAGTGTGCTGCATGGACAGGAAGAGAGTGTTGACGAGGCATGTCAATGCTGCGGCCGGGAGAGGTGTGATGTCAGAGACACACTAAAGCACTGGGATGACAGCAGCCCCTGTGTTGCAGCATGAGAAGCAG